CGAAAACTGCGGCAAACGGCATTTGGCATTGGTTGGGCGGCGGTTGGCGGCAGTTGGCGGCAGATGGCTGGGGCTGGCAGCGGTGTTTTCGGGGGCCGCGGCGTGGGCGGCGGGGCGGCTGCTGCTCCGGGTTGACGAGGCCTGAGGCCATGCGGGCCGAAGGAGGGCGACAGGCGGCTGACGCCCGGCGGAGTGGGCGCGTGGCGCATGCGCCACACATGCGTGGGCGCTCCGCCTCAGGCGCGTGCGCGTTGCTGCGTCGCCGCGCGGCCCGCGGGGTTCATCTGGCTGAGGCGCCAGTCGGGAGGCGGCCGAGCGGGCGTCAGGGGGTTTGAGCTCACATTTAGGACAGCCTTGCGCTTGAAAAAAGCCAGGGCTGCGCGGTCATACACCCTGAGGTGGTGGGGTAAGGGGGGGGGAGACAAGGGGGTGACGCAGGGGAGTGAGTGGGTTCAGGGCAAAGGGCGAAGGGATGAGCAAGAGAGGGCAGCGGAGACGGGTGCCTGGACGAGGGGATTGTCGCAGTGGCAGGCACACAGGCCGTGCAGGGCGTGGGGCTGACGCTTACGGCGTTGGCAGCCGCCAAGGCACCTTGAAAGAGATAGTGCAGCCTGTGCCGTGGTAGGTGCAGGAAACCATGTGCCACGGCTGCACCCCTGCATGGCGCAGCCATACGCGCACATGCTGCATCGCGCCCTGGCCACCCCCAGGCTATTCATGACCAACGAGACCCACTGCATCTGAAGGGAGCCTATTGCACCGACGCCCTGCCAGAGGCAAAAACTACAAAGCATCGACCCCAGGTGGCGCGGCCCCCCAGGCGCACCTGGCAGCGTCCAACTCAGTGTCGTAGCTCCCCAGGTACAGCTGCTTGCCGCGGCCGCCAGGCTTGGCCGCCACGCCGTCGCTGCCCGCGGCCGGCGACGCGCCGTCCCAGATCTGACGCGGTGGGGGCGAGGGGCAACCGCGCAAGGTGCGCGCGCGTGCGTGTTGTGTGCATGCGAACACGTGCATGCGGGGCCGACCGAGGCCGTTGCTCAAGCATGACATGCAGAGCGCGCCTCTGCATGCCAACATTCCCCGGCCGCGCCGCCATGCAACGCCGCACCCGGCCCCGGCTCACGTGCGCCTCCCATCGTCCTGTGCGCCTGTGGCGCGTGACGCCTTTGTAGCTGCTTGTTGAAGGGCTGGCGTTCTTCCGCCGCTGCATGCGCTGCACCGCGCTCGGCGCCCTCGCCTTGCTGCCACGCGACTGCCGCGCCGTCACACGCCCCGGCGGCGCCGACGGGTCCGCGCCCGGCGGCGCGTCAGCCGCGACCGCGGCCGTTGCCGCACCGGCCGATGCGGCGGGAGTGGGCGGCGCGGTCCGGCTGGCGGCGACTGCCGTGACCTGCTGCATGAGGCCGGGGGGCAGCACCAGCGCACGCGCTCCAGGGTGTGCCGGCGGGAGCCCCGCGGTGACCGTGCTCGGCGGGGCCGACCGCACCGCCGCGGAGGGCCCCAGCAGGCGCTGCAGGGCCGTCGTGGCCGCCGACTGCATGAGCGCCGGCGACGGCGGGACGTTGGGCGGCGGCGGCAGCCAGTCGTTGGGGTCGGGCGGCGCCGCCGCGACCAGCGGCTGGTCCTCGGCCGCGGGCGCGTCCCCTTCGGCCGCGGCTGACTCGCCTCCAATCGCCAGTGCCCGCTTCTCCATGTCCTGCTGCCTCTGGTGTGTGTCTTCGGCCGCCGCGACGGCAGGCGTGGAGGGCGGCGCAGCGGCGGGGGCGGACGGCGCTGTCCGGCTGGCAGCGACGGCCGTGACCTGCTGCGTTGGGCTCGGCGGCAGCACCAGCGCCCGCGACCCCGGGGGCGACGGCAGCAGCCCAGCTGCGACCGTCCTCGGCGGGCCCAACTGCACCCTCGCAAAGGGCCCATACGGGGCCAACATCGCCACCGCAAAGGGCCCTTCCAGGGCCTGCGGGGCCCAGGCCTCAAGCTGCGTGAGCACCCAAGATGGCGGGACGTTGGGCGGCCGCGAGTAGACTGCTGGCGGGGACACCACACACACCTGTGAAGCTGCGCTGCTGGCCGTTTGGACGACAATACGCGCTTCAGCAGCCCGGGACAAGCGCAAAGAATCCATGGCCGCGCCCGAACCGTCCGTTGTTGGTTCATCGTCTGGCTCCTGCATGTGCTGGTGCTGGTGCTCCTCCTGCTGCTGCTGCTGCTCCTGCTCCTTCTCGCGCTCCACCCAAAGGCGCCATGGTTCCAACGAGCCTGGCCCCCATAGCTGTCGAGCGGCCATTTCATCCTCATCTGAAAAATTATACAATGGAAACTTTGACGCGTGGGCCTTGGCGCCGCCCTCAGCCGCCTCGGCCCCAAGCGAAGGGCTCGCGCCGGCCGCCGCGGCGCCGCCCTCCTCAGCGGCGGCGTCAAGGATCTGCATGATCTGGAAGTCCAGATCCACTAGTGAACGTTCTTGTGGGGGTGACTGCGGCGGCGACGGAAGCTGCAGCGACTGCGGCAGGGCACCCGCCGCAGGCGCGGGGGGTGCTGCGACCCCGTTTTCGTGCGCCGATGTTGGCAACGGGTCAGGCAGCGGCGACGCGAGCGCAGCCGTCGTGCTGGTCGGCGCCGCTGGGCTCTCGTCAACCTTCAGCCTTTTCGTTGTGCGCTCTGCCTCCGCCTCACCAGGGCCCCGCTTAGGTGCAGGTTCCGCCATGGCTGCACCCCGGGCCAGATGGTACGTGGGGAAGGACAGGGAAATGTCAAGGGTACCCAAGCATTAAGTGAGTGCTATTTTGACTTGTACAAAGACTTCGGGGTCCGCGGCCGGCGCGAACGCAAAGCCCGGTCGATGAAGTCTTGGTGCAATCTGGGCGGGAGCTGCGCCCGTGTGGGGCGCACGTAAATGATTTGGATTCTTCACAGTGACTAGAGGACACTACAGTGGTCGAGCGAGGGCCCTTGCGAGCCCTGGCACCTGACCGAGGTTCGACGCAGGCGGGTCGCGGGTGTCTGAAACGGCATTATGGGATACAAAACTATTCCACATGTAAGCGAGCTGTTGTGCAAGCATGGCAAACGCATAGGACGCGCGCCATCCTCGTTCTTTGCTGCTCTCATGCGAGGGCACAGCCGTAGAGCCAGCCGCAAAGAAGATGACTTTTCTTGAAAATCTCAGATTCTCTTGCAAAGTTTAGGCTGTCGCGCCGCAGATCTGGGGATGCGTATTTAGCAAAGGGCGGAGCACTCGGCTCAAGCAGCGCCAATGGAAGCACCAAACGGGATTTCAGTCCGCCCACAATTCGTTCACTGCCACGTGCACCGCGTAGTATCGCGTGGCCCATGGTCTGCACACACAAGGCCTCCACTCCACCAGCCTGCCTCGGCTGCGCGAGGTAGCTTTGGCACAGCGTTGCGCATTGGGCGGGCCAGCTATGTCATGTGCAAGAAGGTTGCGCAGGGCGTGGAAAAGGCTCTGATGAAAGGTTTGACCCAAGGGCATTGACCCTCAACACACACGAAGCTGGGAAATGCCATTTGTCCATTATTACAAGCGGAACGTTTGGTTTTGATAAGGTTGGGAGGTCATCAACAAGCGCAAGCTGAGTGTGCGACATGTGGGATGAGCGCCGCAAGTAAAGCGTGCCCCCCTGCGCGACAAAGGAGTTCAACACATTAAAGGCGACCCCTGCCTGTGAGGAGTTGACCGGCGGGCCAGGCCGAGCGCGCAAGGACGGCTGCACACAGTGGTGACATGGCGCAGCATGCTGCACACTCGCTGCCAAATTTACGAAAGTGGCGCCGCCAGAAATGGGACCAAACTTCTTCCCAGTGTCAAAGGCACCACTGACCAGGTGCGCCCGTGCGTGGGCGTTGCTGGGTGGCATGGGCAAGATAGACCACCAGCCCTCACAACAGCAGTCGGCAGTCAAGAGCCATCACACAGCTGCCTAGGTAATGCAGGGACAATGCGTGCACTTGTCGCAGGCTTTCGGCCCCGTAATGATGTGCGCTCCTGCCCGTTCGACATGCACCCCTGGGGTTGCAGTCTGCGGCGCACATAGGCGCACAAGAGCTGACAGGAATGCAGTGGCGCGTACGGTTGCGCGCACAACCACATACACGCACCCCAATTGACACGCAACCCGACGCGGCACACAGCGCCAAACAGGGCGCGTATTCACAGACAAGGGACCCAGAGATGTACGCGCCGCACCCCCGCAGGTGCAATGTATTGTAGATAGCATATAGTTATTTTCAGGTGCCCCAAGGCCAGATCAGGGCCTCATTGCGAACCCTGCCAACCACCGTCGCGTCCGCGTCACTTGTGCAACAGTGAATGCACGCACTGCAGGCGCGTCCCGCACGCGACAAAGCCCCGTTGTGCCAAAACGCCTCACCGCTCGGCTGCAGCTGCGCACGCCCGCCCAGGCGACAGGCACGGCGCACCCAGTGCATCGCCGGCGCCGAGCCGCACCCGCTTGGCGGCGCCCGCGTCGCTGCCGTCGCCGTCCGAGCCGCAGCCCCCGCGGCTGCCAACCCCGCCGCCGCCCCTAAAGCGCCTGGGCAGAGCGCCGCTGTACAGTGCAACACCGCCAGTGTGCACCGCGTAGAACGGGGCGCGGCTGGGGCGCTCCTGCTTACGCCGCTTGGCCTGCCTGCGCGCGCCAAACCCCGCAGATGGCAGCAGCGCCTGCTGCGCAGCGAGCCACTGCGACAAGTGGCCCAGATGCTGTTGCAGGCCGGCGGCGTCCGTGACCGCGCCGCCCGCGCCCATGACCACCCCTGCGCCCGCGCCCGCGCCGCCCGCAGCGGCGTTGGCGAGCTGCTGCTGCAACATCAGCACCTGCTGCTGCAGCGCCGCGGGGCCGTCCGCTGCGCCCTGCTGCACCCCGCCAGCAGCTGCAGCAGTCGCGGCCGCGTCCCACTCTTGCGCTTCCAGGAACACCCCGCTGCCCGACCCCCGCGGCCCCTTTGTGATGACCCTGCGCTTCCCCTGGCCCGCCTTGGCCGCAGCGGCCGACCCCGCCGGCGTCCCAGGCACCGCCGGCGGCGCGGGCGCGGTGCTCAGGTGCCACTCAAGCGTCGTTGGCCCGGCCAGGCGGTAGCCCACGGTCCTCGCGTCGAAGCTGCGCGCGAGGCGCAGCAGCGCGGGGTTGCGGACGTAGTAGATGACCTGCCGGCTGCCGCTGACCTGGCTCTTGCAGATGCTGCGGCCGACGGTCACGTCCACGGGCGTGCTGCGGGGTGTGCCGTCGACGACAAACTGCAGCTGCAGGTTCATGGGCCAGTTGCTGACAGCTGAGAAGCATATCTCCATGATGCGCTGCGCAAAGTTGACCTGGTCGCCGGCCGGCGGGGGGCGGGGCCGCTCCTGCAGTGGGAGGGGAAGTGTGCCGACAGGCGGGCAGGGTCGGTTGCGCAAACGGCGGGTGATTGCGGCGTGCCACGGCATGCAGTGCGGGCTGCTGCTGGAATCATGTGGGTGTGCTGTGTTCATGTCGAAAATGCAGTGTGCTGTGTTCATTTTGCAAGACTGGCAGACAAAAACAAGGTGCCTCGTAAATGCGCGTGGGTGTCTGGGGAGAGGGGTAAGACAAGGGACGTCGCGCTCGGTCGCACCACTGGGAAGAAGGTGCCCACGACGCCCGCAGGGATGGTGGTGACCCCTAGCTGGCCCACTCCCTGCTGCGCCGAGTAGTCGAGGCCCCCATCCGCCCTCGCTGCGGGATCGCAGCCGCCCGCCAGCGCCAGCTGCCGCTGGTACTGCTGCAGCTGCTGCAGCAGGTGCTGCTGCACGAGCGCCTCCTGAGCCGCGGCCGCTGCTGCGGCCGACGCAGCGGCCACTGCCGCTGCAGCGGCCGCGCTTTCTTCTGATTGCTTGCCGCTGCCCTCAATCGCAACGGACGCTGCTGCAGGCGCCAAGAACAGCGGTCCCACGGTCGCGACAGAACCCGCTGATGTGGCCGACGCCGGCCGACGTAGGCCACACGAGCTAGTGCCTGGCACCGGCTCGGGGCTGACGCCGCGGCTGGCCCCGCCGCGGGCCTTGGTGCGTCCGTCGCTGCCGCTGGGGGAGCTTGCGGCGTCGTCGAAGCTGCGCTCGTGGCCCTGCAGCTGGGGGTCAGACTCCTGGGGGGTGGCAGGCTCCGCCACGCCTGCCTCGTCGGCCTCCTGCTGCTGCTGCTGCTGCTGCTGCTGCTGCTGCTGCTGCTGCTCAGCCTGGGGCTCGTGCACAGGCAGCAGCTGCCCAGCCATGCACGCCGCATGCGATGAGTCAAGATCTGCCCATGAGACCTGGCTGACGTGTGGGCGCCCCGGGCGCGCCGGGCCCGTCACAGCTGCGGGCGAGGGGCTGGCGCTGGCGATAGCGATGTGCTGGGAAGTGGCCATATGCATCTTCACAGCAGCGGTGGCTGCTGCCGAGCCGTGCATGCACGTCCGATCGGAAGAACCCGAGGTCGGCGTGAAGCCCAGCCCTGATGAGCTCGCGCTGCCGGGGCCCAGTTCATGCTGGCCCGCGGGCAGCGCGATGTGATGTATACCGCCCTGCTTCATGAGAAAACGCCACGGCCTGCCCTGCAGGGCCGCCTTGCGAGCTCTGGAGGGAGCGCGGAGCACACACCCGGGAGGGCCTACAACGGCTGCAACAGTCGGAAGGTGGCACAGATGAAGGTCCAAATTAAAGTATGCTCATATATGACAGGCACGGTCGACACAGGGCGGTCTCCAGGAGCAGTGCGATATGACGGCACAAGCAGCGCGCCAGGTGGGGTTGGTAGGATCCTCACTAAAGCTATAGCAGTCTCATAGAATGTCGAGGACCGCCGGGAGTCGCCCGCCCTCAGCAAGAAATGCTGGAGCTCAGCGGACGAAGGTCCCGGGTGCTCGGCCGCATGCCGCGACGATGGTTGCATTGCAGTTGAGACAATATATGGTTTTCGTGGGGTGCTGTGGGACGCCACTTCCAGTCACCGTCCGAAAATCAAGCAAAGGATCTGCTGCCCGTCATTGTCAGAGAGACACTAGGCGCTATATGGTTGAATCGACGCAGAACATGAAGCGATGAGTTTGGCGTGCAGGGGGCCTGGCGCCCTGTGGCGCTGCAGGGCGGCGCCTCTTGCCCCCATGCCGAGTGCAGAGCGCCGGGGCAAGATCTGTGTGCAGTGCGCAGGGGCACCGTCTAGGGACTTCAAAGTGCCTGCCGGCAAGAGAGACATGCAGGTTTCAAGCATGACATGCCACATGATTAGGCCCAAGCGCGCCTGGCGTGGTACCCTCCACGTGCATTCCACAGTATTCGCCGTGTGTGTTTTCATGCATGCCTGCATGACCGCAAGCATGGCCACAATCGCACAGTGCTTCGGATTTTTTGCAAGAAAGGTGTCAGATTCTCACTCCAAACCTATAAGACCATTCTGTATGGGAGCCGGCTAGCACCTTCTGCCACTGTTGTAGTTGTCTGTTGTACTCATCATCTATGAATCAGCCGTGTTGACTGACGCCATTGGATCGACTGCAACCAACTGCATGGAGCGGATGAACCTAGTTTTGGATGGATGATAGGCCCAGTCGTAGCTGCCATCGCCTCGCCCCTGCGCGCATGCAGCAGCCTGTTGTGAGCACGAGTCTTCGACTGGGAAGCTCTTGCCTTGCCCGGGTGCTGGGGCGCAGCACGGCACGCTGTGGCTGTTTCAACGGCCTGCATGGCATGCGACAACCATGCTGGCATCCAACTCTTGTCACAAGGGGCCTCCAGTCAACAAAGCAGCCCCTGACAATCCAAAACTGAAGAGCAAGTGTGATATCCCTCCGTTCACCACCAGCATCACAGTCCAACTTGAAGGACGCACCCCCTGGCGGAAAGCGGCTGCGCCCAAATCCATCAGGCAGAGTCAGGATTGGGTGGGTGGCGGGCAGTGGGTTACTAGTCCGCCGACGTCTGCACACACACTATGCTGGTCTGTGGCCCACGGCCTGACGCTTCCTTGCGGCGCTTCTGCCGCCACCTGCACGACACATAAGTGCCGCCATCAAAAGCTGATCAGCTGACTTCAACCCGGTGTGTCTCTTCTACGTACAGTACAGCCTGGAGTGCCTGTTCCCAGACGGCTGCGTGATGTCCAGAGCCCTCGAACAGCAGGGATTGGCCACCCCGTGCACAGGTACTATGTGGTGTTGGGGTTTTGTCTAAGCCCACACCATTCTCGAAGTCCATAACGCGTGGCAGCGCAGCGCGACAGATCAAAGGTTGCCATGCTAGCCTGCATTGACCAGGTCAGCCATCCATGACGCACTCCGCACCATATTATAACAGATGGGACAAACCCATGCAATTCAAGGTGTAATGTCTGGCTGTGCTAATTGAAGTTGCAAAATTACGCACTCCGCTGCGTCGGAGCCGAGCCCCAGCAAACCTGCAGGTGACCAGAGACCACCTGATGGGAAGGATGGCGATCTAGAGTGAGCCCAGCACTTACTGCATCGCGGCGCCATGTGCTTGACTTCGTGATTTTCTGATTTTCGCCGCATTCTAGTGGGTCGGGGCTTCGTGTGTCCACGCGCGACCCGCACTGCTCACACGAGGGCCGTTCGGCGCTCCTTCCGTGCAAGTGAGTGTCAAACGCATCAAATCACATCCAAATTGTGGCTGCCTGGCAATTGGATGTGCCCTCGCGATCGCAGAACCGATTGATTGTCCGGGTCCCTGCAGTCAAGTTGGTCCCTAGATTCACGGTACAATGGCACTGAATTGCTTCATGGGTGGCGAACCACGCGACGTGGACGCACTGAAGCCGTGCCCGCTGCCGCCGCTCTGCGCAAGCTCTCTGTCCCTACGTGCGCTGCGCCACCCGCACGCTACCCATTGCACCAATCAGGCGCCCAGCAGCGCAGTGCCGACATGATGCAGACCCAGCGCCTGGCGGGCGCGTCCCAGCAGCGGGCGGCGCGCCCCAGTGCCCGGAGCAGCAGGAGCAGCAGCGATGGCCCGCGTCGCGCTGTCGTGGTGCGCGCGGCTGCGGGCGCAGACGCCGCGGAGCCTCTGCTGGTGCGTGCAGCCAGGGGAGAGGCGGTCGACCGGGCGCCCTGCTGGATGATGCGGCAGGCCGGCAGGTGCGCTGCAGGCCTGTGGTGGGCACCCACCGAGAGGCCGGCCAGCCGCTTTGCCCAGGGGGTCATGCGTGGGCGTTGTACGCGCTTGGGCGCGCCCTACGCTGTATTGTTCATTCACGTGGATGCAGCACGCGCACAACAAAATGACAACAACAAGCCGCTGCGGTCGCGGCCTGGAAGCCCCTTTGCCCGCATGACCAATACGTGTGCTGCCACCACTGATGTGCGTCCACGCCCCTCCCCTACGAGCACACGCACACGTGTATGAAATAAACACACGTGCATGCGCATATTCACACATGCATGCACACACACATGCATGCACACACACATGCGTGCGCGCAGGCACACACACGCACACACACACACACACACACAAATCGTGTACACGCACACACCATGCTTCCCTCTCCTCTCACCCACATGAATGCATACACGCGCGCACACATACCCAGGTACCAGGCGGCGTACCGCGAGCTGGCCCTGAAGCACCCCTCCTTCCGCGCCCGCAGCGAAACGACAGAGCTGATTGTGGACATCTCGCTGCAGGTGACGAGGACGCCAGTGGCTTTATGGTGTTTTGACTGGCGGGTGGCGTCGCTGTCCTTGCGCAACAGCTGGCTGTGCACCCATAGTGGTGCCTCGCGCTGGACGTGCGGGGCCGGGGCAGCTGCACTTGCGTGTGCTTGTGTGGGTTGCCAGTGCCAAAAAGCCCAGCAGCTGGAGGGGGGGGGGCAGAGGGGCGCAGTGGCGCGCCAGCCAGCCCCGCGACAGGGCGGACGCGGCGTGGCAGCGGTGATGGCCGCAGGGGCGGCCGCAGAGGCTACGCCGACGGCGGCAAAAAGTGCAGCTGCTGTGGCGCGGCCGGCACCCCACGCCTATCCCATGACCTCCTCCCAACCCGTGCCTACCCCGCACCCCCCGCCTCCCCGGCCCCGCCTGCAACCCGCCCTGCGCAGCCGTTCCGCAGCTTCCGCCCTGACGGCGTGATCCTATTCAGCGACATCCTCACGCCGCTGCCCGGCATCGGCATCCCCTTTGAGATCGACGATAACAAGGGGCCCCTCATCGACAACCCCATTCGCTCCATGGAGCAGGCGAGCACCCCGCCGGCCGCGCGCCGCAGCTGGCGATGGGAGCGCGCCGGGCGCGGGCGCGGCTTGGGCAGGTTCCATCAGCAGCCCGGGTCGGGCGCCTGGGAGCGTCTCGGCACTGGAGTCTGGCATCTGCACCCGCGTGCCCTCCTCACGACCGACATGCATGGCCTCACATCCACACACACACATTTCACCGCGCCCACACCACTCCGCACCCCACCCTTCGGTGCGCGCCGCGCCCCCGCAGCTGTCCCAGCTCCACGCCCTCGACCTGTCGAAGCTGACGTTTGTGGGGGACGCGCTGGGGCAGCTACGCGCGGAGGTCGGCGGCGCGGCGGCGGTGCTGGGCTTTGTGGGGTCCCCCTGGACCCTGGCCACGTACCTGGTCGAGGTGCGCGCGTGCACGCGCGCGCGCGCGTGTGTGTGTGTTGTGTTGTGTGTGTGTGTGTGTGTGTGTGTGTGTGTGTGTGTGTGTGTGTGTGTGTGTGTGTGTGGATGTGCGCATGTAGAGGAGCAGTGTTTCTGTCAACTTTTGCTTGGGGGATTGGTGGCCTTAAATGTGGTGGTGATTTGTGGCCCTGTGCCTTGGAGATGCGTTGAGGACTGCATTCGAGGGGGATTGCATCTCAGAGAGATTAGCAACAGTCGCGCCGGGGCTCGCGGTCGGCGCCGCTCCCCCGCCCGGGCATCTCATCCACCGCTGCTCAGCCCCTGCAACCCATCCATCCACTGACCCTGCTGCGGCCCCGGCTCAAACGCAGTCACTCGTACACACACACACACACACACACACACACACACACGCACGCACGCACGCACGTGCACACACACGCACGTGCACACACACGCACATGCACGCACACGCACACGCACACGCACGCACGCACGCAGGCTCGCACGCACACGCGCGCACGCGCACACACACACACACACACACACACACACACACACACACATACACCCACATTCTCTCTCTCTCTCTCACACCGGGCCTTCAGGGTGCCAGCAGCAGCCTGTACAAGACAATCAAGTCCATGGCCTACAGCAACCCCGCGCTGCTGGACGGCATGCTGTCGCGCCTGGCTGACGCCATGGCCGAGTACATGTGCTACCAGATCGAGGCCGGAGCGCAGGTGGGTGGGGGTGACCGGCCCACCGACGACGCCTGTGGTTGATGCAGCTTGCCTGCTTGGCCCAGGCACTCTGTTTTTTCCTGTCCGAGGCTGGTCCACAGGGATTGGCAGCGGTCGTCGGGCAAGCCCGTGGTTGTCGGGCGGCGGCTGTGAATCCAGGAACTGGCAGGGGGGGCTCGATTTTGGGTGGGGGGCGTCAGTGCCCGCGCTAGCTGCTCCTGGAGACGTGGCCCACCCAAGCGTCAATGCTGGCAGCCTGGACAGTGCCCAAGCTTCAACACTTGATGCGCGCGGCGCGTGAAGCGCCGCGATGGCTGCTCAAGTCCCCCTCGGCGGCGCCGCCTTCGAGTGCTCTGTCCGGCCGCGGAGCACGACTTTTCTCCCTGCTCCTCCCTCCCCCCGCTCCCCCCAGGCCGTCCAGGTGTTTGACAGCTGGGGCGGGCAGCTGCCGCCCCGCGACTGGGACCGCTGGTCCGGCCCCTACCTCACGCGCATGATCGCGACCGTCAAGGCCCGCCACCCGCGCGTGCCCCTCACGCTCTACGCCAACGGCAGCGGCGGCCTGCTCGAGCGCATGGGCGGCACCGGCGCTGACGTCATCGGGCTGGACTGGACCGTCGACATGGCGGACGCGAGGCGGCGGCTGGGTGACGTCAGCGTGCAGGGCAACGTCGACCCGACCGTGCTGTTTGCCGAGCGCGGCGCGATCGAGGCGGCCGTGCGGGACTGCCTACTGAAGGCCGGCCCCCGCGGCCACATCCTCAACCTCGGCCACGGCGTGCTGGTCGGGACGCCCGAGGAGGCGGTGGCGCACATGTTTGAGCTGTCCAAGACAATCAAGTACGCAGATCTGGCCGAGCAGGTGCGGCAGGCCAAGCAGCCCGCGCTGGTCTGAGCACTGGCATTTCCAGCGGCGGCCGGGCCGGCCAGGCGCAGGGCGCCGGCGGGACAGTGCGGGGGAGCATGCGGAGAAGGCGTGCGGCGGCCGGGCGTCCTGTGCGCGCAAGCGCGGCGCATCTGTCCCTGCCGGTGTGTGGCATCAGTCGGGAGCGGCGGCCGCGGAGGGCCGCGCGGCTGGATGGATTGCTGGCCTTGCTGATGTGAGCCGCGCGTTTGCAGTTCATTCCTGAAATCTTGTTGGCTGGTTTGTGACATGGTTGGTGACAGTAAGGCGGCGAGAGGGTAGAGATCGACCGAGCCGCCGCAGACGCCCCAGGGTCGCTGCGTTGACGACGCGCCCGCGCGCTCGTGTAACGACACTCGCACTGCTGGCGCTGCGGCCGGAGTACGCTCTGTGGGGTGGAAAGCCGCGGGAGGCCGCATTGTGCGTCACAGGACACCACGCCTCCACTGTCATCAGTGTGTAGTGCGTAACAGCAAAAACGCCACTGCGGCGCTTGTGATGTCAGCAGCCGGTGCAGACCGGGACGCTAACAGCCCGTGCAGCCGCGGGTGCAGACCCGGGCTGCGTTGGCTTGGACTGCGTGTCGTGACGTGCCCGCAGGAAACTCACAATTGAGTGCGTCTTTCAATGTGAGCGCTCGCTGCCCAGTGGACCGTCGCAGCAGTCACCCCAGTCTCTAGCTGAGAAAGACTGGAGGACATTACACGGAGGCTCACATGCCCTGGACACCTGCGCGCCTCGCTCCCCAAGTTGGTCAAAGCCAGAGAGACGGACAACCAGGCCACCGCATTACGTACTTGACACACAGAAGGCCAGCAACCGCTCGAGCAGGGATTTTGTATTGCAATGTGCGGGTGTGCACCTGCTTCTGGACACAGGCCTGTCACACAGTGCGTGTTTCGCCGCGCGCTGCGGCCACCTGGCCAGCAACTGAGGGCTGCCGCCACCTGGTCAAGCTGCACACACACCACCACGCCGCCGCCACTGCCTGTGCCCCTCCCAGGCGGCACGTTGGCACGCGCGGACTTGTCAGGGCCATTGAGCACAGCTGCACTGGCGGGGCATGGGTGCGCAGGGAGCCTCAGCCTCCACACTGGCTTGGTGCATGTTGGGACCCGCCAGGTCATCCACAATTGGAATTCAAACTGCTTGCAAATTTGCGTAATATGCAAACTGCAGGCCCCCCCCCCCCCGCGCCCCGCTGGCGCTGCCTCCGCTCTGCTCAGGTAGGCGCGTTTGCGCAGAGGGCGGACAGCCACCAAGCTCAAAGTAAGGGCAGGAAGGGCACGGGACGCGGGATGCTTAGTGTGATTGACCAAGCCAACGTGCTGATCGTGAGAAATTGTGTCACAAAGGACACGAGGTTGGTGAGGGAATGAGTGCTGCTTGCTTTGTGGCCATGCGGGTACGTGGCATTGCTGTTGTGGCAATCTGTACTTGTGCAAGCACCAGAAGCCTGGGCTGCTCCAGCGGGCGATCGCCACACCCTGAAACATTATTGCACAAATCATGTCAACCTGGGCGGCTCCAGCGTGCGACCACGCGATCCTGTCACAATGTTTTGCTACCAAACAAAAGCATTGACACCTCCGCTGAACTCTTTTGGCCACGGCTACCATACGGACGGTACCCAGGCCAGTGTACCGCAACTTATCGTGACTCGCTGCAAGGGCGGCGGCGGCTTCGTGCGCTGTTCGGCGGCCTTCAGCCGCTGCGTGCGCTCGTCTGCAGGGCATTGATATGATTTTGCATTGCATCTTGCGACAGCTCACATGTACCCGGGAGGCTTCTGGGCAAAGCGTTCAAACACCTGACCTGGTCGGTACTGTCAGCTATCTAAAGCTCCAACTGCATGGGCAGTGCCATGCGGCGGCGGCGCAGCCCTTCACTTACCGTAGCGAGTCGGAACAAGAGGATAGTATGAATTTGATATCAGCCTGGACGATTCTGGGTTTTGAACCGGAGGAGGACGCGCCCCGCGCAAACGCGAGATCATTCGGGCCGTGGCAAGCGGACGGGGAGGGGCCGTGGCAAGCGGACTGCCGCATCGATCAACGCTGCGGAGGTTGCAGGCGCGGATGGGCAGAATGGGGGGCACGACGCGGCGCGGTGCGACAGCGCTGCGGCGAAGCCGCTGCCAAAGCACAAGGGCGTCGCCCGTGCCAGGTGCGTCTGCCATGACTGTGCAGCACCCTTCATCACTGCGCATGCGCAGTTTCGTTATCTGGGGCGGTGGCAATGACAAATACGATCAGCAGCCAATCTTTGCAGCATTGCGCTTCAGCCATGCGCACGCACCAACCGCATCCCCTTCACTCCCTTGCCCCTTCACCGCGCGCAGCATCACCAACAAGCTGTGTGCGGAGCTTGGCGCGAGCCACAAGGTCAAAAAGCCATGGACTTTGCAAAAAGAAGGGCCAGCCAGCAGCGCACGTGGCAGGTGGGTGTGAAGGTGGATATGGGTGCATTCTCCGCTGTGGATGATGCAGCCGTCCTTGCTGCCGGCAGCAGCCGGCTGGGGCGGCTGGCGCAAATGTGGGGCTGGTCAGGAAATTGTGCTTGTGCGTTGCCATCTCAACGTAGACAAGCGTCATGCTCACACGCAAGCGCACACAACCGCCCCCCCTTCTCGCACCCGATTTGTCATGCCCCTCCTGGCGCTGCAGTGGTGGTGCAGGCAGGGCTATGACGGCGAGCTGCGCGCTCAGCCGTACGAACCCGACCTCTCAAAGGGCAACGCGCTGGAGACGCTGGCGCTGTTCTGGACCTGGTGAAGGGCAACTTTCCCGGCTGGCATCACTGGAAGAATAGACAAGGCTGGTGAGCGGCGCACGAGCGGCCCGTCGCTTGGGTTGGGGCCGCCTCGCTCCCCCAGGCGTGCTGCTCTGCAGGCGTGAGGGAAGATTGTGGCCCGCGGCTGCGGCCTTGAGATGGATGCGGCTGCGGGTGAAGGGCTGAGGCTGGGCATCGAGCACCCGGGCCGCCACGGGCGAGCCCCATGCCGGAGTCGCATCGTACGCACCTCCCATCGCACGCCTATTAGCCAAGGCTGGCTCCCATTGTTTGTGATTGAGTTGTCGCCGCATGTTGCTTTGATCAGGCGGCCGGGTGTGGCGAACCATCTCGCTTCTCGGCTTCAAGCACTGATGTCACAGCGATGTCAAAGCCGCTGCTCACAGCCGTCCCTCCCTGTGCCCTGCCGCCATGCGCCCCCAACGCTGCGCCAGGTCGACGCGATGCTGACTCAGAAGTACAGGGGCGACCACATCCTGGCCAAAGAAACGGCCCCCGTGGCGCTGCTGACCAACGATCACGACCACGCCGCCCCCAAGAAGCTGGCCGAGAGCGAGGCACTGCCCAACAACGGGGAGGCCGCAGGTGGCTGCACGGGCCTGGCTTGATAGGCCGAGGTTGCTGATCATCATGCCTACCCTATGGGTTGGTTCGCCACCCTCATGGCGCCGCGTAAAAGGCTGCAATGTGCTGTGTGTGTGTGCTGAATCGCTGCTGCGCAAGGCATTACATGTGCTAATGTGAGCCCCCGCCTTGTCGACATGGCTGCCTCAACCTCAAGGCCGGCACGGTGGACGACATGCTGAGCACCAGGCAGCTGGCGGCGCTGATGCTCGTGATGCTGGGCTCCGCTGCCGCGACGGCTGCCCGGGAGACGTGGATGGCCCTGTGGATGGCGGCGACCATCACGCGCGGCGACGACGCCCCCGTCGGGTGTTCCTGGCTGACCTCCTGGCCCCCGTCTGCATCATCGTCATTGGTGAGGTGCTCGGCCGGGGCCGGGCGGGCAAGTGTCCTTGAAGCCACCTGCCTGGCACCCCTGCCACAACCTCTTCGTGCGTCGGACACGATAGAGACGCGAGGGAAGCCCAGGCCCCTCCATCACTCTCCCACCCCCCCTTGGTCCCGGCTGCGGCCTGTGTTCTGCCAACAACACCATAAGCACCCCGGATCAGAGAATTGCACGTGCACGCTCACACATACATGCAGGCGCACGTGTGCGTCCACCTGCCCCCCCCCCAAAACGCACACAACACCCCCACTCCCATCCCTGCCCACCAGGCCCCTGCACGTGCTACCTGCTGTCGGCGGTCTTGCGCGGTGGCAAGCGGCAGTTTGGGGGCAAGGTCGCGCATGTGGGGCCCGTTTGCCACTGCCAGCCGCTGTCGTGTCGCCACGGCGCTCTTGGCCGCCACCCGGTGCAGCGTGTCACGATCG